ACCCATCCAGTCCCAACCCGTCCCGTCCCAAACCGTACCATACCGTACCAAACTGTACCGTACCAAACTACCACACCAAACCGTACCGTACCAAACCATACCATACCGTACCAAACCATACAGTACCAGACTGTACCGTACCAAACTGTACCGTATCAACCCATACCGTACCAAACCATACCATACCGTACCAAACCATACAGTACCAACCCATACAGTACCAAACCATACCGTACCGTACCAAACCATACAGTACCAAATCATACCGTACCAAACTGTGCCGTACCAAACCGTACCGTACCAAACCGAACCATACCGTACCAAACTGTGCCGTACCAAACCATACAGTACCAAATCATACCGTACCAAACTGTGCCGTACCAAACCGTACCGTACCAAACCGTACAGCACCAAACCGTACAGTACCAAACTGTACCGTACCAAGCCGTACCTTACCTAACCGTACCGTACCAAACCGTACCGTATCAAACTACCACACCAAACCGTACCGTACCAAACCATACCATACCGTACCAAACTGTACCGTCCCAAACTACCACACCAAACCGTACCGCACAAAACCATACAGTACCAAACCATACAGTACCAAACCGTACCGTACCAAACCGAACCATACCGTACCAAACTGTACCGTACCAAACTACCACACCAAACCGTACCGTACCAAACCATACCATACCGTACCAAACTGTACCGTACCAAACTGTATCGTACCAAACTGTACCGTACCAAGCCGTACCTTACCTAACCGTACCGTACCAAACCGTACAGCACCAAACCGTACAGTACCAAACTGTACCGTACCAAACTACCACACCAAACCGTACCGCACAAAACCATACAGTACCAAACCATACAGTACCAAACCATACCGTACCGTACCAAACCATACAGTACCAAATCATACCGTACCAAACTGTGCCGTACCAAACCGTACCGTACCAAACTGTACAGTACCAAACTGTACAGTACCAAACTGTACAGTACCAAACTGTACCGTACCAAGCCGTACCTTACCTAACCGTACCGTACCAAACCGTACCGTATCAAACTACCACACCAAACCGTACCGTACCAAACCCTACAGTACCAAACTGTATCGTACCAAACTGTACCGTACCAAACTACCACACCAAACCGTACCGCACAAAACCATACAGTACCAAACCATACAGTACCAAACCGTACCGTACCAAACTGTACAGTACCAAACTGTACCGTACCAAGCCGTACCTTACCTAACCGTACCGTACCAAACCGTACAGTACCAAACTGTACCGTACCAAACTGTATCGTACCAAACTGTACCGTACCAAACTGTATCGTACCAAACTGTACCGTACCAAGCCGTACCTTACCTAACCGTACCGTACCAAACCGTACAGTACCAAACCATACAGTACCAAACCGTACCGTACCAAACTGTACAGTACCAAACTGTACCGTACCAAGCCGTACCTTACCTAACCGTACCGTACCAAACCGTACAGCACCAAACCGTACAGTACCAAACTGTACCGTACCAAACTACCACACCAAACCGTACCGTACCAAACCATACAATACCAGACCGTACCGTACCAAACTGTACCGTCCCAAACTACCACACCAAACCGTACCGCACAAAACCATACAGTACCAAACCATACAGTACCAAACCGTACCGTACCAAACTGTACAGTACCAAACTGTACAGTACCAAACTGTACCGTACCAAACCGCACAGTACCAAACCATACCTTACCAAACTGTACCGTACCAACCCGTACCGTACCAAACCGTACCGTATCAAACTACCACACCAAACCGTACCGCACAAAACCATACAGTACCAAACCATACAGTACCAAACCGTACCGTACCAAACTGTACAGTACCAAACTGTACAGTACCAAACTGTACAGTACCAAACTGTACAGTACCAAACTGTACCGTACCAAGCCGTACCTTACCTAACCGTACCGTACCAAACCGTACCGTACCAAACCCTACAGTACCAAACTGTATCGTACCAAACTGTACCGTACCAAGCCGTACCTTACCTAACCGTACCGTACCAAACCGTACCGTATCAAACTACCACACCAAACCGTACCGTACCAAACCATACCATACCGTACCAAACCATACAGTACCAACCCATACAGTACCAAACCGTACCAAACCGTACCGTACCAAACTGTACAGTACCAAACTGTACCGTACCAAGCCGTACCTTACCTAACCGTACCGTACCAAACCGTACCGTACCAAACTGTACCGTATCAACCCATACCGTACCAAACCATACCATACCGTACCAAACTGTACCGTCCCAAACTACCACACCAAACCGTACCGTACCAAACCATACCATACCGTACCAAACCATACAGTACCAAACCATACTGTACCATACCGTACCAAACCATACAGTTCCAAACCGTACCGTACCAAACTGTACCGAACCAAATTGTACCATACCAAACCATACAGTACCAAACTGTACCGTACCGTACCAAACCATACAGTACCAACCCATACAGTACCAAACCATACCGTACCGTACCAAACCATACAGTACCAAATCATACCGTACCAAACTGTGCCGTACCAAACCATACAGTACCAAACTGTACCGTACCAAGCCGTACCTTACCTAACCGTACCGTACCAAACCGTACCGAACCAAACCCTACAGTACCAAACTGTATCGTACCAAACTGTACCGTACCAAACTGTACCGTACCAAACCGTACAGTACCAAACCATACCTTACCAAACTGTACCGTACCAAACCGTACCGTACCACCGTCCCGTATCAAACCATACAGTACCAAACCATACCGTACCGTACCAAACCATACAGTACCAAACCGTACCGTACCAAACTGTACCGTATCATACAGTACCAAACCGTACCGTACCAAACCGAACCATACTGTACCAAACTGCACCGTATCATACAGTACCAAACCATACCAGACTGTACTATACTAAAGCATATCATACCGTACTGTTCCATTGTCACTGATTTGTATTGTTTCTAACCAGTTCATGTCCCTGATGCCCAGTAAACAGCAGTGATTTGATTGGCTGTCAGTCCATGGTGAAAATAACAAACTGACAGTTTATTCTAGAACATATTATATTTCAACGTTTCCCATGTGGTGACATTGTAGTACAACCACACAGTACAACCACACAGTACAACCACAGAGTACAACCGCACACTACAACCACACAGTACAACCACACAGTACAACCACACAGTACAACCACACAGTACAACCACACAGTACAACCACACAGTACAACCACACAGTACAACCACA